GTTTCTCTCTCTCTCTCTCCCTTCCTCTCTGAAATCAATAAATATATATTTTAAAAAAATAATTGTTCAAAGTGTTTATTGGTATACTAGAGGCCCAGTGCATGGATTTGTGTACTGGTGGGGTCCCTCGTCCTGGCCTGCGCCCTCTTGGCAATCTAGGACCCCTCGGGGGATGCTGGAGAGCCAGTTTTGGCCCAATCCCACAGGCCAGGCTGAGGGACCCCACCAATGTACCAGTCCTCTAGTATGCATATAAGATCTTTGGTTAATCTCTTCCCTCTGAGATTCATCAGTCTGTTCCAGTTTCCATGCCTGTGCATTGAGTGTCTGCCCACCGGTGGTCAGTGCACGTCATAGCTACTGGCAGGTCAGCCAGTTGCATAGACTTTTATATATATAGATAATAATAATATTACATATTAAGTGACTAAAGTTAAACTTTAATAAGAATACTCAGGAAAAAATTAAAGGTCATTCTTACCAACACAAATATCAGAGACAGGGTAATTAGGCTCATAGAACAACCAAATATATTATCATAAAATATTCTTGAAACTGGTATAGCCATTCTAAAAGTATTCCTGATATTTTAACACTAAAATTTCATATTTAAATTATTGTTTCCAAATCTCTTTTTAGACATTACTTTGCAACAATAAGTACATGTTATAGTCAATGTTAAACACTGCACTTATGGTTATCAATACCACACAAGTTTTTCAAGTATCTGATTTAAGGAAAATTAAAAAGCCATATTAGAAGAAATTTTAAAGCTCTAGTATAGCATTATTTTATAACTAGACTTTATTAGGTAAATCTTATAAAAACATGTTCTTGAGATATAAAATATATTCTTACAAACCACCCAGCTATTCACAATACAGCATTATAGTAATTTAAAAAGCAGAATAAAAGTAAACTCACCTGAGCTCCTATTGCACTCGTTAACTTGAAGATATACAAAACTATGTCTAAAAATGGCTGTAAAGTAAGTATCAGAAGGTATATCAGTAAAACGAATTAGGTTACCTAGATTGATAGCTAACACATTAAATACAAAATGCTATTTAATATATAACATGTAATTATTAACATGTAGAGTTCCCATTGTGTATAATGTACTGTACCATGTTGATCAGTGATTACATAAAAGGCAGTTATTGTAAAAAAAATAGAAAATGGAGAAGCCTGATCAATGTCTACTGACTGGTGGAAAAATTTTATCACTTTTCATCACCTAAGGTAGCTCTAGTGTGATAACTGACCATTAGTAACTAAGCAATTTCTCAAGGTAGTGCGAAGACATAAAATGACCCAAGTTGTAACTCCAAATGTGCTACCAGCTTTTCTGGTTTCTATATATCTTCACCATGAAAGGCTCTTCCTGCTCTTATTACTGTTTGATTCTATTATTTTGTCAGAACATCTATACGTTGAAATAACATAGTAAGCCTATTTATGAATATAATCTTCGGATATAAAATTCAAATTTCTACGACTAAAACAATACATTAAGAACCTCACACAGAGACAGCTCAACTGACGTGCTAAAAGTGTTTTTTGAAGTGTTTCTCAAGAAATCCAAATTGAGTTTATTCACTCAAGTCTACAGCCACCCCTTTTTAACTGATATATACATTACAAGGATCAGGGACTTGGTTTATTAATTGGCTTGTACTACTTTCTTTTTGCCTTATAAATTATGATACCTGTGAAATTCAAGTACATTTAAAAGTTGATAAAAATTACTCATAATTTAAGTCAGAGTTCAAACAATAAGATAATATTAAAAGTAAGTATATTATAATGCATAGCAATTAATTTGGTATTTTATTTTACTGCAGATGTGACAACACCTGAGCTGTAGACTTGCTCAAGTGCCAAGATGTAAAGACTAGAAGTCTACAGAATTACATGAAAAACTGTATATGTTACCCCACACACTCACATATAAACAGAACAAACTTTAAAATATGGTAATGGACTGATAAATCTCAGAGGGAAAGGGGGACAGGAAGAGATTAACCAAAGAACTTATATGCATATATGCATAACCCATGGACCCAGACCATAATGTGGTAGGCCCGGGGAAGTGGGGTGGGACAGAGGTGGCGGGCAGGTGGGGAAAGAGGGGACATCTGTAATACTTACAACAGTAAAGATAAATTTAAACAATAAATAAATAAATGTGGTAATGGGTGAAAAGAAAGCTGAATTACTGAACAATATAGTTTTGTCAGAGTTCCTAGAGTTTGGAACCAGTTAGCAAAGGCTTCTTCTAGAGAGCAGAATAAAGACAAGGTTTGGCATGAAGTGAAAAGGTATCTTAGCAGTGGGCATATCATGAGGAGTGAAGCTCTTGTGGATACGTATCACTTTTCTAAGAATTGCTTATCCTCCCTCCATCCACATGGTTGAAGCAGAGCATTCCTGTTCTTACACTGTGACCAAGCCCCTTGTATATGGATATCTGGATCAATTGTGGCCAGAGGCAAAGATACTATAAACGGTCCAGTCTGAGACAAGCTCCCACCGCAGACCAAGAGCTGTCATGTGCATCAAAGTGAGAAATGGAGCATCATCTACAATGTAGAGGGGAGGAAATGCTGTGTAGATAGTCTCACAGGTACCCACTACATGTCCAAATGTATGTGTAAATTAATATCTTATGAAAGCTTTTTGACTATTATTTAGATGATCTAATAGAATTAGAGATGCTCAAGGAGAAAATGGGCAGAAAGAAGTGCTAGCCTAATTGTAATGGATGTAGAACTAGAAGCATAAATTGACCACAGATCTCTTCACAATTGCAGAAAATAGAGAGGTCAAAAGATAAAAATGTAAATTTTTGTTGTTTTACTGAAATCAGACTTAATATTCTTAAGAAATCTTTATAAGACACTAAATTCTCAGTTCTTAGCTAAAGCACATTATAAAAATAATATAAACAATTAAATAATTATAGTTAAAACTATTATAACTCAAATTTTCTCATAAAGGTATTAAATATTTACATGATGCTCTTATATGAATCAAAACAATTCTATATAAATTTGCTGAGATTCAAAATTCAAAAAATTAACAAGTAATAATAAAAAATAAAGAAACTTACCTTACTAAGATTTGAATACAGATCAACTACACTGTTACAAAACTTTTCTACATCTTGTGTAAGCAGCTGGTCTGGGTTAGCTATTCTGTTGTCCAGATTCCCCATTTTATAATATGTGAAAGCTCTAAAATAGCAATAAGAAAATGACTTTAAAACAAGTGATATTTTTAAAAAACTCACATTATACTACTTAGTTCACATTAATAGGAACAGGAAACTTTGGAGTTGGAAGAGGCCCCACAGATTGTCCTAATTTACTTTAAAGATGAGGAAACAAGTCTAGAGAAGGGTGACTTGCCAAAGAGCCAGAATTATAGATTCTAAATAATGGGTCTTTCCTTATGTTTCTGAGTCTAAAAGCAATTTTCTTGAAAACATAGCCAACAAAAAAGAAAATCTACATCTCAACATCATAAGTATTACCATTCAATTTAAGTATTTTAATATAAAAATAGGTTATTACTTACTGGAGATACTCCTCATAGAGGTATTTAGTTAGCCTTACTCGGAAGCACAGTTTGAGCTCATTTAACCCAAACTTCAAGAAGTTATTAACCAGAGAGATCTAAAATAAACAAACACATATTACTGATTTTGCTTAATTTCTACTTACTAAATCATAATGTATTTCTCTGTCATTGGCTATGTCCCCAAATCCTGTGATTTTTATAATTAATAGTCCAAATTTATATAATTCAGTTCTGTTTTACTTAAAATTTACAAAGATACAAAAAGAACATGCTAACCAGTGATGGTGAACCTATGACACGCGTGTCAGAGGTGAAATGCGAACTCATTTTTTTGGTTGATTTTTCTTTGTTAAATGGCATTTAAATATATAAAATAAATATCAAAAATATAAGTCTTTGTTTTACTATGATTGCAAATATCAAAACATTTCTATATGTGACACAGCACCAGAGTTAAGTCAGGGTTTTTCAAAATGCTGACACGCCGAGCTCAAAAGGTTCGCCATCAGGATAAGTTTAACATATCAGGATAATAGAGCCTTTAGCTGTGCTAAGCTAAAGGCTCTATTATCCTGATATGTTAAACTTTACTTGGAACTTAATTTTAGAGTATGTTAATACCATTAATTCTGAGAAGTCTCTTGTACCTTTTATTTTGGTAGGAAAAAAAGCCAAATGTGTCACCTTCCTATCTAATGTAAAGAACTTGCTTTTAAGAAGTACTGATATTTGTGTATACTTTCTGCTTCCTACTAACAGTGTTACAACCCCAGACAATGGAATTCTATACATATTGCATCTGTGTTTGTTTTAAAAAGTAGTATAGCCTGACTGGCGTGGATCTGTGGTTGAGCATCAACCTATGAACCAGGAGATCATGGTTTGATTCATGATCGGGGTACATGCCCAAGTTGCAGGCTTGATCCCCAGTGTGGGGCATGTAGGAGGCAACCAATAATGATTCTCTCTCATCACCTTTCCCTTCCTCTCTGAAATAAATAAAAATATGTATTTTTTAAAGTTGTATGTCTTTTACCTACAGGTTATTTCTAGAGTCATATTTACTACTTTTTTCCATCATTATATTAAAACTAGCCGGTGCACGAAATTCGTGCACGGGTAGGGTCCCTAGGCCTGGCTGGCGATCAGGGCCGATAGGGGCCTTCTGGCTGCCAGCAGGGGTCTTCCTTCCCTGGCTGATGGCTACTGGCCAGAGCCTTCCTTCATTCCATGCCGCCTCCTGGTGGTCAGCACATGTCATAGTGAACAATTGAAGTCCCAGTCTTCAGGTTGAACTCCGAGTGGACACTTTGCATATTAGCTATATATATATTTTTCCATAGTTCTGAGTCATAATTACATAAAATTTTTATCCAAAAACAAAACTGATTTTCTGCTGAATCTCAGTTTTTGACTGA